TCAAAGAAGTGGCAAAGGATGGGATGCTTTCAAAATCTTGAGCCAAAAGGTATCAAATGAAGCAAATACTAGAAATTCATGGGGAAATAATCTCCCAAATATACAGTGTACAGGAGCAGCTGTATAATTTGCAGGGCTAAGGGCAGGATGAAAATGTAGAGTCCCTTGTTCAAAAATCAGGGGGAGAAAGTGTCATTAAAGGCACTAAAATATAAAGTTTTTTCCTTCCTTCTACAGTCATTCACTCTACTTGTCATGGTTTGTTTTTCCTTTTTTAATTTGTCATTTAATATCATTCTAAGTAAATAAAAATTAAAATGCTAAGTCATTGGCATAATTTTTGCCATTCATTTTTATATTGGGAGATACCCATTTTAAATTCAAATATAAGAACATTTAACTTGTGTACAGAATCACCAAAATAACACAACCCATATTTTGTGGCTGATACATGTGAAGGGAAGGAAAAATTCTTCCTCGACTCTTCAAGGTCTTCCATCTAGACTAAGAATTAATTTACATGAGTCAAATTAATTGGAGAAAAAAAAGAAGTCTTAGTACGTGTGTAAAGAGACCCAATAATGAATTTGAGACCCAAAGAATGACCAAGGCAGGCAGTTTTTATACTTTTTAGACAAAGAGAAAATAAATCTGTGAGCAATTGACAGTAGAAAGAAAACGTAGCTTTGGGAACTTCAATTAGTAAGGAATTCTAAACAGAATTCAGGCTGTGGTAGTAAATCAGTAAAAAGTAAGAAGAGTTGTTTATACAACCATCTTGGCTCTAAATTTTCCATCTTCAGTAATAAGGACGTCTCTTTACCTCTTGGTATAGAGAGGGGAGGGTATGTTTCACATGGGAGATTTATTTCCTGCTTTCAGGGGGACAGAGGAGGTCTGAGTGTCCTTCTTGTACAGGCTATCCCTTAAGTAGCTTTTATTTAAAATAGTCAATATGCCAGGGGCACCTGGGTGGCTCAGTTGGTTAAGCATCTGCCTTCGGCTCAGGTCATGATCCTGGAGTCCCTGGATCGAGTCCCGCATCGGGCTCCCTGCTCGGCGGGGGTTCTGTTTCTCCCTCTGACCCTCTTCCCTCTCCTGCTTGTGCTCTCTGTCTCTCTGTCAAATAAATAAATAAAATCTTTAAAAAAAAAATACTATATATTTTGAAAAATATTTTCAAAATATTATCAAAAAAACTGAAAAAGACAGTCCTGAAATTTGGTAATTGCTATAAATTTTTAATTCTGTTCCTTCAATGTATCTGCTTTTATTCTGCCTTTATAATGTGTGCTTCTGGTATGTATTAAATAAATCCAAATAAATGAGGGTTTTATAAAGAAAAAAAAACCCAACAGTATTCTGTTCATCCTCAGAGAAATATGTTTATTGACTAAATAATCCAGTTTCTCCAAAGATGGACATGAGCATCACAATAGGTTGTCAGAGTAGGTGATCATTAACATGGTCTGCCACGGGGTAGAGATCAAGGTCAGGTTGCTGTCCTGGGGCTGCAAAACAAAATTCCAGACAGCAGGAATAGTGGTGAGAGTGTGTCACAAAGGATTAGGACGAATGTAGTCCTATGAACCTGAGGTTCAATAAAACAGAGCCAGAGGTGGAGGTAAGTGGGAAGGACCAGATAATTGTCCCAAAGGTTTGAGAGAGTTGACCATCCCTAAAAGCTACAGCTGTGGTCACCCTCATCATGAAGCAAATGACCCATGCTGCATCTTTGAGTGACAAAGAGAAACAAGTTATCACAACAAAAATAAATCCAGTCTGGAAACCAGGTATGAAGGAGATATATATATAAGGATACTTTTTGAACCAGATTGTCCCACAGAAATTCTGGCCAAAGGAGGAAGGACTCTGAGTTGTCACATTGCTTTTCAGTGTCTCTAAATAAAAATAAAACATCATCTCACACCCCAACACTGAATAAAAGATCTTTGCAGCCTAGTACCAGTTAGAAAGGGAATTATTGTGAGTTAGTACAAATATTAGACATTACCTAGGGGAAGAATTTGAGTAGTGCTCTGAAAATAGGTTTGTCCTTCAGGATTTTAGCAAAGAAAAAAATCTCACACTTAAGCTTCTAATTTCCTACTCTGAGTAAGTTACCTCAGGAGAAAGGCTTAAAAAGCATGAATAAATAGGTTCACAGGCTAGCTGAGCCATGACAAAGCTAATGACCTTTTTGGAAGAAGAACTCTCATTCAAGTTTTGATCTATAGAGCCTCTGGAAGGTTTTCTAAAGTAAGAAATTTGAAGAGAAGACTAGAAAACAAAATGGTACCAAATGCATCTCAGTAGATTGAAAACAGTTGTAAAGATTAAAGCAAGGGGTATGCTAATAAGCACATAAAAAGATGCTCAACATCACTAATCATTAGGGAAATGCAAATCAAAACTACTGTGAGATACCACCTCACACCCATTAGGAAAGCTACCATTAATAATATAATAATAATAATAATAATAAAAGAAAACAGCAAGTTATGGAAAGGTTGTGGAGAAACTGGAATCTCTGTGCTCTCTTGGTGGAAATAAATAGTACAGATGCTGCAGAAACCAGTATGATGATTCCTCAGAAAATTAAAAACAAAAGTTCCATATGATCCAGAAGTTTCACTTCTGATACTAAGGTCTCGAAGCAATATTTGTATGTGCCATGTTCACAGCAGCATTTTCCACAGTAAAAACTTGAAGGCATTTGTTTTCTTCCCCTCTGTATGCCCCGCTACTAAAACAGTGCCCTGTGCATAGTAAGTGCTCATTAAATACTTCTTGAATGAACAAAAAATGAATGAATGACACCTGATAGGCAGCATAACTGTAGTCAAAAGTTTCATTTTGCTACTAACTAGAAATTCTGAAAAGAATTTTGTAAGAAATATGTTTTTCATTAAAGAGAGATTTTGGCATCATTGAAGTTGCTTTTCTATCTGACTTTAAGATAACTGTATTTAACAAAAGGACCGCCACACTGAATCCCAAGGCCCATTCTGGTCTGACTCACCCTGCTTCATGCTGTGTGTCCCTGAACAGTGCTTGTCCTCCGTTTTCTCATCCTTAAATCAGAAGAAGGAAATCTTTCTTCCAAATTCCCAGATTCTTTGTAAGCTTCAAACGAGATAATGTACAAGAAATCCCTTTGGAAGCTGTAAAGCACCATATAAATGTAACGAAATCTTGTCTTTATACTCATTGTGCTCTGGAACGTTGAGAAGATAAATGTTGAGGTTGCTTCTTACTAGGGGCTTAGTAATTTCCAGCTGCGGGCTTGCAGAACCCAGGCTGAAGTGGCGATTCAGCCCCAAGCAACATCCATTTGCAGGCGAGTCCTGCCCCCTGGTGGAAACAGAAGGGCAGGGACAATGGCAGTGAACAGTGTGGGATCACCAGGGGCGATGCTAACCAGGGAAACAAGTTACTTCAATTTAAGTTTTTTTAAAAAACACCTTCTTTCCCTTTTTTTGTCACAAAATGTCCTTTGGAAAATTTTTTTACATAGGCAGGATGCATACACATTACACCAATAACTTGTCTAATTACTATTTACAGTTAATCAGGCACTGACAATTTACAATTCTTCAGATATTTTAATATTCTAATTCCTATTTCAATTTCAATAATTCAATAACTTAAGAGAATAATTTCACAATTAATATAACATGTTAAGACTACTAAGGGCAATATATAAAATAGGTATTTGTATGGGCATGGATCATTTAGAGAAATTATTTGTATCTAAAATACACTCATGGTGACAGAATCTCTAGGCTATCTAGAACATATGCCAAGTCTTCACCCGGCATGTTCCTGCTGACTCTGTACAAATCATTTAACATTTGTGGGTCTCGGTGGCCTCATCTGACAAAGAGGCTGAAGTAGGTAATGTCTAAGGCCCTTTGCTGCTCTAAAAAAAAAAATCCTACAACTTTGCCCAGAAAATGCATTTAAAGACCGTGCGGATGACAGCCACAGAGCCAGCTAGCCAGGCTTCAGAAGGCTTGTGCCAGCCCAGTTCCAGGAGACACCTGACTGATCTGGAGGCAAAAACAATTTTATACCTGTCTTCTCCACAGAACCAGGAACCACTCAAGCCCAACCAAATCCCTCCTATCTCTCTTTTTCCTGTCCTCTCCACCTTCACCCTCACCTTCCTGGCCACTGCCTCACAAGGAGGCTCCTCAGGTCACTTCCAGCTCACCTCTCCTGCCCTCTCAGCTGGGACCCCCCCACCCTCACCCCGCTCCCTTCCACACACATACCCAGTCATTCCAAACTCTTTGACACAGAAGGCTAAACTGATCCAGCTTCTGCCTGATCCTGACCATACATTTCTTAAAGACTGGACCCATATCTTTTTCATCTTTGCATTTATTTACCATCATGTCTTCATTTTTGCATTTAGCTTTGAACACCAGACATAGTGGCCATATATGTTCAATAAAGGAATCAGTTAATACTTACTGTTATTGTTCAAGGTAATACATAGATGTCACAATCATGGTAAGACCAGAGAAATTACCAGGATCATATTTTTTTAAATAACACAATTTTTTTTTCCCTGGCAGGATAAAATATGTGTTTCTTTAGTAAATGGTTCTTTATATACCTCTCTGGTAATTAAGACCCTACTGTAGCTAGCTGATGGTACCCTATCACAATCTTACTTAACCTTTAAAATTTATAATATCTGGTGCCAGATAATGATGGTATGTTCTAGGGTCTAGATGAAAGTAAAGGATTACTCACCCAAAATTAGAAGTTAAACTAATTAACTTAATATAGAATGAACCCGGTTATATTTAAGATAACAAATATCCTGAAGCAACAGCCAGAGATGTTAGACATCAATTTACAAAAAAAAATCACCTAATTATACATAATTTCATGCTAATCGGAATGATGCCATTTTTCTTCTGGCATGCATAACTCAAATAGAAACACCCCAATGATTGTGTATAAAAGCCCAAAGAAACCATCAGCCCATGATATTCTGTTCTCCTTTGAAGTTACAGCTATCTTGTTACAGACAAGGTGAACGTTGCTCATTCTATCATGTCTCTCCGATTTTCTAGTGGGTCCAGGCATATTTGGTTATGGTCTGGAACTGGATCTGTCAGACCATCCAGTGGAGGCTCGGGCTTTGCAGGCAGCAATGCATGTGGCAGCTCTGTTGCTGGAAGCAGATTTTCCTGTGCCTTGGGAGGGGGCCTGGGCAGTCTTCCTGGGGGGAGCCATGCTGGTGGTGTCCTTGGAAGCGCTGCTTGTTCTGGCTTTGCTGGAAGTGAAGGGGGACTTCTGTCTGGGAACGAGAAGGTGACCATGCAGAATCTTAATGACCGCTTGGCATCCTACCTGGATAATGTGCGAGCTCTGGAGGAAGCAAATGCTGAACTAGAGAGGAAAATCAAGGGTTGGTATGATAAATATGGACCAGGATCTTGCCGTGGACTTGATCATGATTATAGCAGATACCACCTAATCATCGAGGATCTTAAGAATAAGGTGAGAAATCACAAATCTGAAGATACTCAAAGTATTTAAAACTAAGATTGACCTAGCAAAAGACACAGAACATGAACAGGAAATGCTTCGTAACTATTATCTGTCATTTATGTTCATATTTATTTATTATTTATTTTCATAAATCATTCTTTCTATTAGTCAAAAATAGGCACTTTGATGCATGAACTTCAAGTAGCTTAAATGTTACTGGTTTTGAAATATATTCGTCGATAAGAAAATGTTGCATTCTAAAAGTTAAGTGAGTAGACGAGAAGAAATAACCACATTTGTAATTTTTAAAAATTAACATTTTAAATATTTTGGTTGTCACTTAAGGAAATAAAATTTTTATGCAAAAGTGAATCGTGTCACATTTTTTATTTCCCCACAATAAATTATGAGAGTGGGCTTATTTGTTGTGTCCTCCCTTTTGGTTTCTTCTAGATTATCTCTTCTACTACTGCTAACGCTAATGTAATTCTGCACATTGACAATGCCAGACTGGCTGCTGATGATTTCCGGCTAAAGTAAGTGATAGAAAACAATCACTCTCTAGAAAAAGTTTCCTGTCTATTTTAATATGCTAAATAAAATTTCAATTTCATCCCAAGTAGAATAAACTATAAAAGATTAAAGGAAGTAATGCATGTTATAATACGACAATACCCTATGACACAAGGCATGTTCTTACAATCAGCTACGCTCACAATTTATAAATATTTATTACATTCTTGGGACAAAATATCACTGTATTTCTATGCCTGCCTGGAATAGTGCCAAGCACAAAGTAATAGCTCATAAATATGCATCAGGTAAGGAAAAATAGTCACTAAGATAAAATTCTAAAATGGGGGGGTACCTGGGTGGCTCAGTCAGTTAAGCATCTGCCTTCGGCTCAGGCCATGATCCCGGGGTCCTGGGATCGAGCCCCAGATCCAGGCTCCCTGCTCAGCTGGGAGCCCACTTCTCCCTCTCTTCCTAGCTTGTTCTCTCTGTCACTATCTCTGTCTCTCTCAATCTCTCTAATAAATAAAATCTTTAAAAAAAAAATCTGAAATGGCATATTTTTAATTAACTGGGATCCTTTATCAGAATTTGTGTTACACTAAATAACTGCCAATTTCCTTGCACAGAACTGGGTAAAAGGAGTGGAGGAAGGCGTTCACTGCATACTTTTATAACATTCTGAGTCCCATTTCAATTTCCGATGTGCTGCTTAAAGCGACTGAGGTTTTATTTTTCTGCCTCTTGAGGTTGTCTAACTGGTGCTGAAATTCATTTAATGCCCGCCAAGGTTTGAAAATGAGCTCGCCCTGCACCAAAACACGGAAGCTGACATCAACGGGCTGCGGCGAGTCCTGGATGAACTAACACTCTGCAGAACCGACCAGGAGCTGCAGTATGAATCCCTGAGCGAAGAGATGAGGTACCTCAAGAAGAACCATGAAGAGGTAGGAGAAGCTGTACTTCTAGTCAAATCGTGATTCTGTACATTTTAAATACTTCGGGGGGGACTTTAAATTTTAACAGTATTTTGTGCTCATTATAATAATTTAAACAATGCCAAGGCATACAGAGAAAGAATTTTCTTTCTCCTGCTCTCTGCCCTTCTAATCTCATCCCCCAAGGCTATAAATATTAACCATTTGATCTGTACCCTTCCATTTTTTAGGCGGATAGAACAGCCTATCCTTTTAAAATGGTGCATTGTTTTTGCATTGATACACCCGTCTTTGTCTGCACTAGATTATTTCTTTCATTCATAAAAGCCTATCCTGAGGTCCACCTTCTCCTAAAGACCTCTCTGACTTGGAAAACATATGTTTTCTCCACTTAATGAGCCTGGCTTTGCTTGAATGATGAACCCTGCACAATAATAAACCCATTACCTGACACGTTATACCAGCCCGCTTCAAACTCCCGAGGGGGAGAAAAAAATGCCTATCCCCCAAATAGTCTCCAAAACGATGGATGAAAAATTTTCGGAAAACACCCTAAGACAGGTTAGAAAAGCCTAAAACACCAGCTCTACTTGCCCCCAAGGAGAGAATTATGGGGGACGGAAAGGCCAGGAAACATGAAAAGAGAAAGAGGGCAGAGAGCTGGAAAGGCAGGAACGAGGCAGAGCGATTTTGTGCACTGACCATAACCTGCCCCTCGAGTCCCGCTCACGTTTCCCTGCAGGAAATGAAGGCGCTGCAGTGCGCGGCTGGAGGGAACGTGAACGTGGAGATGAACGCAGCGCCCGGGGTGGACCTCACGGTCCTGCTGAACAATATGCGGGCCGAGTACGAGGCCCTGGCCCAGCAGAACCGCAGGGACGCGGAGGCCAGGTTCAACGAGAAGGTGAGGCCGCCCACCCAGCCCCCGCCTCCGCCTGCCCGCCCGGTGGGTGCAGGGCCGCTCACCCCTCTGCACCCCACCTTGCAGAGCGCCACCCTGCAGCAGCAGATCTCCGACCACGCGGGCGCGGCCACCTCGGCCAGGAACGAGCTGACCGACATGAAGCGCACCTTGCAGACCCTGGAGATCGAGCTGCAGTCCCTCCTGGCAATGGTAGGCGAGAGAGCGCGGGTCAGCCTGCATTTTGTGACTCTCACGGAAACCCTCCTCTTCTTCCCTGTTAGAGCTTTACCTCCAAAAAGAGAGCTGGGAAAACAGAAGACACTGAGACACTCAGACAGACAGACAAAGCATTTCTTCCTCCCTGAGGTCACTGAGGATTTCCTTCCTGGCCTCTGCTCAGTGTCCCTTTCATGAAAATAGCTCACGTTTCACACAGTCCCTTCCTCAGGCCGCAGAGCAAGCAGCAGGAGTATTACCCCGCCTGAAAATTAAGTGTCACGCCAATGTCAGGTGGCCACACAGGCAGACCTAGCATCATCAGCATCTCCTAGTACTGATGAAGGCCAATTAAAGCCACTTGGTGCTTGTCATCAGGCAGAGGAAAAGAGGGTACATATGTGAATCGCTATGAGCCCTGTCAGCCCCTTCATCCCCACCCACCTCACAGAGCTGGGCATTCAGCCAGCTTGGCACCTATTGCCAATTATTTCAGAGGTTACCATGGAGATAATCCAGGACTAAAAATGGCTTCCCTTCTGGTGTATGAGCTGGCAGCACCCAAAAAGCTTGATTTTGAGAATTACCACATACCTGTGGTAACAAGGGTTCCCATCCTCATCAGGGGTTTCATGCTTCCTGAGGACTGGAAGTTGTAACCCAAAGAAAAGAGCCATTATTATACAAATGAGTGCAGTGAGCAGAGAAGGTAAGGATGACTCAAAACTACAGGAAGACCATTTTGATTTAGCCACCCTAGAAAGGTACAGTGCTCTCTTACCATTATAAGGTTTAGATTAGAGACTTGTTTTGACCACTGACTAACCCCCAACTTAACCAGGGTGCCCCTCTCGTCCTGACCCTGGTCACCACTGCTGGCTGGTAACCCAACCCTCCCGCTGCCACTCTGGGCTCCTGGAGCCCTGCTCTCTGCCCCGTTCCCTTCTTCCCTGCGACTAGGACCCTGAGGACCTGTTCTGGCTGCTATATCCCTGAGCACAAATCTGCCCTCGCGTTTCTGAGCTACGTTGAAGCAAATGAACTCCCGAGTTCCCAGATCAAAATGGAAGCATTTTCACGTAGGAGATGATGTTAGAAAGTAGTTAATTCTGTGCAACCGGGAGTACCATGGTTTGGGCTCCAGAGATAATCCACACAACATAACTGAATTCTAGAATAACGGTGGTATAGAACCTAACTACCGTGCTTGAGAGTCTTTTGTCACGGATGGATTCTAAGCAGGATCTTCTGTAGTTTAGTGCACAAATCACATGTAAGTTGGGACTGGTCTAAATATGTAAACTTCTCCTAAGCTTCCTGTAGTATGCAAACTTGCAAGTTCATCCTGTCCTCCTTCCGTATCTACAAGCTAACCTTTACAGGGAACAGCTGTAGAGATAGGGATGCTGTGCCCTCTGATTAAGAGGAGTATTAGCAACCTGAAAAAGGGATGCCAGGGGCACCTGGGTGGCTCAGTCGGTTAAGCATCCGACTCTTAATTTTGGCGCAGGTCATGATCTCAGGGTTGTGAGATCGAGCCCCTCATCAGGCTCTGTGCTGGGTGGGGAGCTGGCTTGAGATTCTCTCTCTCCCTCTCCCCTTACCACCCCCCTTCCTCTCAAAAAAAAAAAAAGGGAATAAAATGAATACCGTATGAGAATACATCAGGGAAATTAAAGTTTTGAACAGCTGAGCACACACCTCACTGATGTCTTGCCACTTGGTGCCTCCTCCTCCCCCATTACCATGCTGTTCACCTTCCACTCCTTTGCCCTGGAGAGCCCAGCACCACCCATGTAATGCACCAGTTGGCCAATTTATTAAGTCAGTGGTTCTTAGCCCCATCAAACCCCATGTCCGCCTGTTATGATGAATATTTTATAACTCCCTCTTTATCCTAGAATGAAGTCAATAGAGGATATATTTAGCAATACAAAAAAATTTTAAAAACCACTATAATGCCATAACTGCAATAAAAAGGAAAACTAAAAGTATTTTTAAATAAAATCTATTTAATATGTAAACACTTGGGCCCAACGACCCCCAGGACATGTAATGAGAGAGACAGAGGCTTACCCTTCCCTTGATAAGTAAATTTTTATGTTAAACAAGGTAAGATCAGGAGTGGCTCCACACAAGAAGGACAGGAAAATGAAAGAGTACGAATGGGGCTGGACCCTCAGATAATAACTAATATCAGAAGAAGTAATAACCACCCAGAAGTACTTACCTATGATAAGGGGAGAGGAAAATTACTTTAATTGAAGTAGACATCCCATGATGAGACAGATGACAGGTTGTGCAAGAGGAAATGAGGAGGTATAATATTCATAAGAGTAGTGGGGAAATAACGACCTGGAGCATACTGTGAAATGTATCTGTTGTGTTGAAAGCCCACCCCTGGTAAGGCATTCATTCTATCTCTAGTGCTTCATGAAAAGGCCTCTGAATAACAACAAGCAAAGCCCGGACAGATCAGAAAAACAAAAAGCAGCGTGCAAGGCCTTGGAGCAGTGGTGGGGTAGGTCTCTGGAGACAGGAGCAGAATGAGATTGAAAAACAAAAACGAACCCAAAAATAAGTATGTAATTTCAATCTATAAAATTTCCAATATGATTTCTTACTGCGCTGTCCCCCAAAAAGAGTTTTAATGTGTAGGTTGACCATGATAGGAAAGATTACCTAAATATCATGAAAGTCCGTTGGAACAGTCAAAAGTCTCGTGGGCAAGGGTCATTTATGCCACATCAGGTCCTCCAGCGTGCCGGGCCCCCACCGGGGAAACACCTGTGACTTCCCCTTCCTCTGCACCTCCCCTGTTGTTGTGACGAGCCCCATAGATCTCCAAAACTCACCTAGGAAGCCATGCTGCCGTTTGCTGAGAAGCTCTGGTCTGCATAGTCCTCAAAGTGGCTTCATCCTTGCTGTGACATCCCCTGTCCTCAGAAACACTCCCTGGAGTGCTCCCTGACCGAGACCGAAGGCAACTACTGTGCACAGCTCGCCCAGATCCAGGCTCAGATCGGGGCCCTGGAGGAGCAGCTGCACCAGGTCAGAACCGAGACGGAGGGCCAGAAGCTGGAGTACGAGCAGCTGCTCGACATCAAGGTCCACCTGGAGAAGGAAATCGAGACCTACTGCCGCCTGATTGATGGAGACGGGAAGTAAGTAACACCATTTGAAAATCCGGCATTTTACCGGGTAGGTTTTTACCTATTTTAAGCCACAGCTATGGACTGTCCATCCATGTTCCATGCCTCCAAGCCTCTTCTTCTTCATTCCCACTGCAGAGACGTGTGTCTACCTCTTCCCTCTGCAGTCATCCCTTCCATATTTTATACATCACAGCCCCTTCTTCATCTGCTTTGGATGACCCCAGTTGTCCCTGCAGAAGATCCCATTCAGTACCCATGTTCATCATTGTAGGTCTCAAGATTACCCCCCACCAGGCTTTACCCATCTTTCACTCCGTTCCTAATATCATCAATGTTCTGAAATAAACGTACTCTATACAAACCCCCAGGATCTATATGCTCCCCCAGGAGCATGCGACTCTTGATCTCAAGGTTGTGAGTTCGAGTCCCACATGGGTGTGGAGATTACTTAAATAAATAAAACACTTAAAAGAAAAAAAGAAGTAGGTGCGCCTGGGTGGCTCAGTCACTTAAGCGTCCAACTCTTGATTTTGGCTCAGATCATGATCTCAGGGTTGTAAGATCCAGCCCCTCATTGGGCTCCCCACTGGACAAGGAGCCTGCTTAAGATTCTCTCTCTCCCTCTCCCTTTGCCCCTCCCCCGCCTCTCTCCCTCTCTAAGGAAAAGTATTATTTTCATTTAAAAAAGTATATATTCACATATGTGTATATAGAATATATTATGTATGTATATGAATATGTATATATATTCTCTGTAGGTTTTAAATTCTTGAGTTTAAAAAAAATCAAATGAAAACAAAGTAGTTTTATATCCTTTCTTTAGAAGACATTTAATTATTTTTACCTCCTAGACACAAAAATTTTAATATTTTCCTTTACAGAAAACTAAGATCTGTTTTTGGCATACAAAGTTCCCTTGAGTTCATGTTCATCATTTGACTCAATGAATATTTCTTAAGTGATAACCCGAAATATTAAAGAATAAACTGGGGTGGGTTTTTTTGTTTTTTGTTTTTTGTTGTTTTTTGTTTTTGTTTTTTTGCAGCTCATGCTCCAAATCAAAGGGCTTTGGATCAGGAGGCTCAGGGAATTTACCTAAAGGTAATAAAATCTAGTTCTGTTTCTGCTGTAAGTACTTTCACATTAATGGCAATCATATACTGTGGCAACATCTGTATTTAAGTAATTTTAACTAAAGTGCTCTGAACTTAAAGTATTATTTTAAGTGGATAAAATTATCCCAAACTATTATAATAAATCTGTACATGCTCTCTCACCGAAGTGTACATAATATGTTATAAACAGCACTGGAATTCTTCCTCATGTAATCTTTTAGCTGGAATATGTGTATTCACAGGCGTTTTATTTCTAGAATTATCCAAAACCACATTGGTAAAGACAGTGGTTGAAGAGATAGATCAACGTGGTAAAGTTCTTTCATCGAGAGTTCACGCCATTGAAGAAAAGACATCTAAAATGACCAGTGGCAAAACAGAGCAAAAGGTTCCATTCTAGCCGCCATCGAGAAAAAACAATCTGGGGAAAAGGATCCTATACAACTGCATTATTCTAAATATCAAGGAAATTAAAAAAAAAAAAACTTTCTACCCTTACCGATAATTTACTTAGCAAAAATACTTGTTTTCTTAGTTAACTTTTACAGGGTCTTGGGCGTTTGTTTTCAAATAAATAAAAAAGTAGATGTGCACTTATTTCCATTCACCCATAACTAATAAACAATTATTTGAGATTTATTTTTTTTCTACATCTCATTCACGGGCATTCATTTATGGAATCTATTTTCATTGCCTTTCACTCTAGTTTTAAATAATAGTCAATACCACATGGCATTTAAATATTAATATTCACTAGGTATAATCTTTAAATATCTCACCATTTTGCATGGGCAAATAATCTGGGAAAAAAATCAGAAATTCTTCTGTGATTGAAAAATCCCATCACTAGATGGCACATTTCTGGTATTTTACCAACGACCTTACCAAGCTCTTCTGGAGATCTGCGTACTTCCCAGTATACTGTTCCCCATATAATCAGGATTAACTCTAGAAAGATCCACAGCAATGAGCCTCATGTGAATGACTTTTCTCCTAGAGCAAACTCCGTCGAGCCCCAGATAGCAACTAGTTCAAGCTTAGCAGGCCATAAGGTCTCTATTTCAACTTCTTGGCTAAGACATTGTAGCAGAAAACAGCACAGACAATAGGTAAATGAATGAGCATGACCGTGTTCCAATAAAACTTTATTTATGGACACTGACACTCGAATTGCAACTAAGTTTGATGTATTATGAACTATTATTCTTCTTTTGATTTTTTTCCCAACCATTTAAAAATGTGAAAACCATTCTTAGCTCATGAGCTGTACAAAAACAGGTGACAGACCAGATTCAACCCGCCAACACCTGGTCTAGAACTTAAAATCTCATGAGGTTGATGAACATTATGGTTATTGTGTCTTTCTATGTTTCTGGATCAAAATGTATGGTAAGGAGTCCTAACAAACATTAAATTCCCTAAAAGGAGAGCAGCTCTCCTATTTCTGTAATATGTGGCCTGATTCTAATAAGAAGCTCCAGTGAAGGCAGGACTTCTACCCAACAAGGCAACAGCCACATGGGAGTTCAAAGAAGTGGCAAAGGATGGGATGCTTTCAAAATCTTGAGCCAAAAGGTATCAAATGAAGCAAATACTAGAAATTCATGGGGAAATAATCTCCCAAATATACAGTGTACAGGAGCAGCTGTATAATTTGCAGGGCTAAGGGCAGGATGAAAATGTAGAGTCCCTTGTTCAAAAATCAGGGGGAGAAAGTGTCATTAAAGGCACTAAAATATAAAGTTTTTTCCTTCCTTCTACAGTCATTCACTCTACTTGTCATGGTTTGTTTTTCCTTTTTTAATTTGTCATTTAATATCATTCTAAGTAAATAAAAATTAAAATGCTAAGTCATTGGCATAATTTTTGCCATTCATTTTTATATTGGGAGATACCCATTTTAAATTCAAATATAAGAACATTTAACTTGTGTACAGAATCACCAAAATAACACAACCCATATTTTGTGGCTGATACATGTGAAGGGAAGGAAAAATTCTTCCTCGACTCTTCAAGGTCTTCCATCTAGACTAAGAATTAATTTACATGAGTCAAATTAATTGGAGAAAAAAAAGAAGTCTTAGTACGTGTGTAAAGAGACCCAATAATGAATTTGAGACCCAAAGAATGACCAAGGCAGGCAGTTTTTATACTTTTTAGACAAAGAGAAAATAAATCTGTGAGCAATTGACAGTAGAAAGAAAACGTAGCTTTGGGAACTTCAATTAGTAAGGAATTCTAAACAGAATTCAGGCTGTGGTAGTAAATCAGTAAAAAGTAAGAAGAGTTGTTTATACAACCATCTTGGCTCTAAATTTTCCATCTTCAGTAATAAGGACGTCTCTTTACCTCTTGGTATAGAGAGGGGAGGGTATGTTTCACATGGGAGATTTATTTCCTGCTTTCAGGGGGACAGAGGAGGTCTGAGTGTCCTTCTTGTACAGGCTATCCCTTAAGTAGCTTTTATTTAAAATAGTCAATATGCCAGGGGCACCTGGGTGGCTCAGTTGGTTAAGCATCTGCCTTCAGCTCAGGTCATGATCCCGGAGTCCCAGGATTGAGCCCCACATCAGGCTCCCTGCTTGGTGGGGGGAGTCGGCTTCTCCCTCTGACCCTCCCCCCTCTTGTGCTCTCTCTCTCTCACTCACTCTTTCTCAAATAAATAAATTAAATATTTTTTAAAAATTAAAAAAAAATAAAATAAAATAGTCAATATGCCAAGGTGGCATATTTTGGGGCAGCCTGCCTTTGGTTGGCCCCTACACATGCATATGTATTTTGTTCTTACCAAAACAGTGGAAACACTGCACCAAACCAACTCAATGGGTTTTCTTTCACTCCTTTATCTGCTCACATTCTGCCAACACTACCCACCACTGGCATACCAATGAGTAAAAAAAGACAGGAAAAGATGCTGTGGGTTGCCCTATTCTTCTATAGCACTGTTTTCAGCCTGAGTGGTTGGCTCATACAGGAATGTAACAGTATGTGATAAGGTTCCTTGGTAGTTCCTGTTCCTTAGAACACCATTGCCTTCTTTCTGCATTTGAAACAAATGCCATTTGAATGGAAAACCTCTCGGGGTTGTCAGAAACCCTACTTACTCAGTCATAGACATACTTACCTTGCACTTGCTTTGAGTTTCAGCAAACTCCGCAGGATGGGTGCACCAGAATGCTGTGCACCTGGGCATTGCATATGCTACATGCTGCTGAGGCAGTAAGGAAAAACTGCAGACAAATGTTATTTCCATCCATACTCCTTTGCTCAAATGCTTGTCCCAGCAGGCTTCACTTACAAGACACAAACTCAGGAAATAAAATTATTAAGAATACCAAGATGGCAACAGAAGAGCATTAAACCAAGTGGGGGGTCCTTCTGAACAGGAGACCGTGTGTCCTGCACAGGTTTCACGCTGATGAAGCCAGCCCTGCTTATCAGGTGTGCTCATAACACACTGACTTTAAAAACACTGTCTTCATGGTGATCGTCTTTCCATGGTGTGATACTGTGAATTATAATAAGAAATATATTTTTGTCCCATTCCTGGCACAGAGTTCCTAAAACCCTTGGAACTGCCAAGATGTCCAGAGCCATCAAGGTTCTTTTGTGATATTAATGAGGTGACTTTTGGAAAGCTTATAAAGAAACTAAAGATGCGGGTGGCTGTCAGTTGAGTCAACCATGTGAGTAGAGGTTTAGAACTTTCAGTCCCACCCCCAACCCCACCTCCTGGGAGGGGAGAGGGGGGTGGAGTTTGAGTTCAATCACCAAAGGCCAATGATTTAATCAACCCCACCTATGTAAGGAAACTTCCATAAAAACCCAAAAGGATGGGGTTTGCAGGGCTTCCAAGTTGATGAACATGTGGAGATTTGGGGAGGATGGTGCACCTGGAGAGGGCACAGAAGCTCCACACCCTTTCCCCATACCGTGCCCTATGCATCTCTTCCATAGGACTGCTCCTGAGTTCTATCCTTTAACAGTAAACCAGTGATCTAGTGAGTAAAACGTTTCTCTGAGTTCTGTGAACCACTCTCACAAATTAACCAACCCAAGGAGGGGATCCTGGGAAAATCTTTGATCTACAGCCAGTGGGTTAGATGCATAAATGACATTCCAGACTTGAGATTGGGGTCTGAACTAGTTGGAGGTAGAGTAAGCAGTCTTACAGGACTGAACCCTTCACCAATCTCCAGGTAGACAGTGTCAGAATTGAGTGTGGGAGAATTGTTGCTGGTGTCAAAGAATTGCTTGGTGTGGGGGGAGAAAACCCACACCCTGGAATTGAAATCAGAGTTGTACTCTCACGGTAGGTAGTATGGGGAGCACACATTGCACTTTGTGGTAGGGGTACTTTTGATGTGACAAGATTAAAAGGAAAAGCAAATAACTCTAAGTCATCATTTTGTTAAAAAAAAGAAAGAAATTACAAGCCTATAATGAAGTCGTATGCCCCCCACAACAGCAGACCAAGACTTAACTACAGTTTCAACCTTTTCCAGGAATGTGACATTTTAAGTCAATCTGAAATTTCCTGATCCGCACTGGTGAGGTCCTCTGCATGATTAAAAA